GGAGGCCTGGCTCAGGCTGGGTCCTGGCTCAGCATTGGCTCCCCTGAGGGACAGGCCCGTGGAAGGCTCCCCTCCCCTCCTCTCTCCCCTCCATCTTGAATCCCTGCCTCTGTGGCTCCGACTCGCCCCATGGGGTTTCCGTCTTCTCCTCTGGGAGGCCTCCCAGAAAGTGCTCGAGGCTCCGGAGCACCGAGGTGCAGTGCCTGGGCCCAGCTGGGTGCGGGCGGCCCGAGTCAGAGGGAACGGATGCTGGTGCCCCGGACCCACGCTGGGAGCTGGCCCTGCCTCCTGCTTACCGGTGTGTGTAGCCGGAAGCGCAGGCTCCCAGGTCGGCTGCGGAAGGCCTGCCCGGCTGGCAGTCTGTGCCTAGAACCCGTGCCCGCCGGCATGCCGCACCGTCCCCTGGCACGGCCGCTCCCGGGTCTCACTGCAGTGGGCACTCCCTCCCTGAGCCCCGGGCTGGGCCAGTGCTGCCTGAGCGGGCTGGGTGGGCCCCCTCCGCGATGGGCACGTTAGGCGGGGGGGAGGAAGACCTGTTTGCTGTGGGGCCCTCATCTACCCCCCAAAGTGGACCGTGGACCGTGTCAGGTTACCCCTCTCCCTCCGCCCCACAGCTGCCCCCTGTCCTGAGGCACCCCTCACGGCACCTGTCACTCATTGTTAGCAGCCCCCTATTGGCTGCCCGCTGGGCAGGGGCGGGAGGGCATCAGAGTCACAGCCCCAGGACACGGTCTGGGGCGCAGGCACCTCCCGCTCTGCCTGGCCCTTCCCTTCACTGGAGGAGAGGCAGCTGGGAGGCTGAGCAGGGGCCAGGCCAGGCTGAGGCTGAGGCCAGAGCTGGGATGGGGGGCACCCACCCCATGTCCTCGGAGGGAGGGGCTTTCGGGAAAGTGCAGTGGGAAAGGCTTTGCGTGGAACCATCCTCATTTCTTGTCCTTGCCCGAGAGAGAGAGAGAGAGAGAGAGAGAGAGAATAGAGGTCAAGGCCTCCTGGGGAAGGGGTCAGGCTGCTCAGGTCCCTGGCGGGGGGACTCCGAGGAGCTGGCAGACTCAGCCATCTGGACCTGCACCTAAAGACCAGGATGCTGTCAGGGCGGCTCCTTAGGACACAACAGGCTAGACCTTGAGCCCCATCTGCTGTCTCTGTTTCTCTCTCAACGGCTCCATTAGCACCTGCTTTTGAATACTGAGGGGGGTGGGGCATGCGGGAGCCAGCCACCCACTCAGGGGAGTAAGCCAGAGGCGCCTGCCCTGGCCCAGGAGGGATGGCCACGAACGCCCAGGCTTGGGGGGGAAGGGGGGGTGGCGCGGGACCAGGTCGCACCCAGCGGGGGCATCAGGCAGGTGAAGTCAGTGAACTCCGACTCCGGGCGCCTCTTTAAGGAGTTTGCTGGGAGCCTGGCTGGCGTCTGCCTACACGGAATTATGCCCCCGTTTACAGCAATTTTCAAGTTAAAGTGTTGTCAGAGGCTGTCACGGTTTGATCCGTCTTTTCTGTTCATCCGCCCACATTTTCTCGTTGGGTTGGGAGGGGGAGTGAGGGGGAGAGAGCCTGGGTTGGATTCAGAGCTTTGGGGAGCGGTTCCCGTTATAGGGGAATGTGAACGCGATCGAGTTTTCTGTTGGGAAAATTCAGGCCCCGCGCCCAGTGTCAGCGCTGCTGTGAGCTGAGAACACTCCGAGGCCGAGGCCGGGCCGGGCGTCCTGCCGCCGCCCGACTCTCCGGGGAGGTCAGCTTGACTCTCCCTGTGCCC